AAAAAAAAAAAAAAAAAAAAAAAAAAAAAAAAAAAAACAATAGCACCTATAAACTTTCCATGAAATTTCAATTTCTTTTTTAAAAATTCATGCTGACTCGCACCACGTGTAAGAAATATTGTAACTATTTTACTAGCAATTTTTATAGCTTCAGATAACTAAAAAAGACACGGTTGATTGATCGTTCCTATCAATAGTAACAGGATTAAAGTTAATGGCAAATAATAAAACTGTAGGAAATATTTTTTAAAATTATTGAAAAGCCTGGATAGGTAATTCCATTTTCAATTTAAAAATTCTATTAGCCTCGACGTTAATAGTGAGTTACTGAAAAGATATGTGTCACGCGGTCGCATTAGGCACAAGAAATAGCGCAACGTAATTGCTGGCGTGTGGACTAATGAATTGTAATGATAGTGGAAACTCCCCGCAGCAGCCCACCAGCCGAGAACAGAGAATAATAAAAGTATCGTAGGGTGTGCCCTGAGATAGTCACGTCACATGGATACATAGATATAGCGAAACATTATATTGACCCACGTTCAAATGCATCGCTAAGGTTGATTAATACTCGCTCGAATTTGCATGTTAAAGTAAATCGCTGCAGTACCGACACGACCCTGCATAACCACGCTAATTATCATAGTTACCGGTAGACACGTCGACGTTGAAAAGACTGCACATCCCAGAATAGAAAAATAAAGAAACTTTCAATGCAATCGGAAGCCTTTGTTCCTGACACTTTTCGCTTGGGGATTTCAACACGTTTCCATTGTTTGATTCTCCTACTTTCTTCTTTTCCCCCGGAAATTGTACGACTGGAAAGTGTCCGAAAAGTGTTTAGTTTGAATAGTCTATAGTATATTATCAATGTTTCGATGATCTTTATTTTAAAATTTTAAAGCTTATACATATACAATACCTGATAATTATTTCAATTAGCCTTAACGAGATGCAAGTCCGTTGAATCTGTTCAGCTGGAAATATATTCTCAATTCGTCATTATTATTGACTGATCATAGGTACTGTTGATCGAAACGTTATGCGTTAAATGTACATTGTGGTTTCCTATTATTTTACACGAAACAGTGTGGGCTGGGTTTTACTCTTTTAAGGCTTTACTGTTGTGCATTATGTAAGGGTACACATCAGCTTGTACGTGTGAGAAAGGTACAGAAATTTCTTTGAATCTCTTAATGAGATAAAAATAAATTTTTTAAATAATTCAACATTTTTGAAGAGAGATAAAATGTGTCAGACTTTTTGCAAGACTCAATCGCGTAGAGAATCGCAATACGGTGGCGTCTTGTTTGCCCCTAGAAATGCAGCTTTTTATGCCATTAGGATTGCGGAAATTCGAATTGTCATTGTATCTGATACTGAAAACATATATTTTTAAAGCGAAGCCTCCTTAAGAGTTTAGGAGATGCACTTTGAAAGCGCTCGATTGTCATTTGAGTAAGTTAATGAAAAAAAACTTTTTGTAGAATTCAGTTTGTGTCATTCGTATTCCACAGGATAAGGATGCAGCTTCGTGTATAAATTTCGGATTAACGTGGCCAATGGCGGCCGTTGGCTGAGGGTAGAGTTCTATCAAATAAACTTAACAGCGTAGAACCATTAGTCAACTCCGTTTCCTCTGCTTCCATTGCTTAAAGCTTCCAAAGCTTTCACAGACCTTCCAGGGCCGAAAGCGAGTCTGCATGAGACAACCAGAAAAACGGATATTTTATGCCGTGAAATCGCACGCGTTTCACCTACTCCTGAATTATCTCTGTGGTTAATTAGTCTGAAAGATGACAGACATATCAGTATTGCGCTGCTATGAGATATACTAATTTCATCCATAACGTTTTCCACCTTACACATGCCTGCAACTAATATAATATTATACTGATTAGATGATCATCAAAATCTGAGAATTTCTATGGACGTTTGAATGTTTGTAAATATGCTTAAGTTGCCTCAGGCTATTTTTCGATTAACAAGTTGGTAAGACGAGTCCATCATATTGTCAAGTTGAGCAACTTATTCGATAAATTAACTTTGTTAAAATCACAGTTTTCGCTATTCCTTGACTACAAAAGTATTGTTCTTATTTGGAGCACAAACGTTACAGTATTCTATTGTGATTGTCGTATTGTATATCTGTCATTGTCAATCTTATATTTCTTCTTGCAGGAATGGAGGCTATCATGTCCGAATTCTTCAACGATACGACTACGGCCTTTTACATTATATTAATCGTCTGGATAGCCGATCATTACGATGCAATATGGTGTCACACAGCGGTAACCAAACGCCATTGGCTCAGGTAAGAGTTTATTTTTTGGTTTATAGAAATTTAATTGCAGATACTAAACACTAGTTTAGCATCTCTAGGCTGTGATTCGGATAAATGTCACAGACTTTAGTCATAGCTGGAACGTTATTTTTTATATTTGTTTTTCCTAAATCCATAAAGTTGATGTAACACATTGTGGGAATTATTTGAGAAATATGATGCACGGACATCTTGCGACAAATTAGTGGATTCCCGTAGCAGAATTTCCCATTGCCAATAATTTGTTGTCAGAGACAATTTGTTGTAAATCAATGCAGTCATTGAAAAACCATTTATTGCCTTCGACAAAAGAGCATTCACAATGGAATATTTTTGTTATGATTTGTGAATAAAATTTTCCTTGGAAATATCGTAAAAAAAAATTTGAAAATATAAATAAAAAGTATACGAAGATCAGTTATTATGGCGTTAGTTGTAACGTTCACAAAAAGGAATTACAGTAGGTTACGTGTATTAAAAAGAATTCACGCTCGATACTGGAGGGTCACCTATTTCGTAGTACTTTTATCATACATTTCTGTTTCTTTATCGCAATCTCTTGGCCCAAGAATTCGATCGATCATTATTGAAATAGAATGGGGATAAATTCTGGGAGAGAGTCTGGAACGAAAAAAAAAAGATTATGAAACACATCGATCATTAAATACCCGAATACGAAAGGCTGCGCTTTATGGATTAGGACAATCATTCGAATATTCGCAGATTTTGAGAGATCGTAGAATCATCCTGAAACACACCTGTAAAGTTTCTACTCGATAACTTGACTCGTTAGACGTTATAGCTTTTAGAAGTTGAACATGCGTTCTTATGAGAAATAGACAGAAAGGATCCAGTGTGTAAAATATGGATTGCGAAATGTCCACTGAGAACAACAACATGATCGTCAGACTCGTTCTCGAAAAATTCACAGAAAAATAAAGAAAATCAGTTTAATATTGAATTTTTCGGCCCACTGACTGCTGAGTCGTAGAACCGTGGCACTACATGCCGCATGGCACGCTATTTGATTTTCGCTGTCTTTAAAAACTCCGTTTACTATTTCGAGGCGAGGGATTGAAAAACCGTACTAAAAAATTATTCTAAATAATATTTCTGTTCTGACACTGATGTTCCCTTATAATTATATTTATTGTATGTCGAGATTTCGTGCAATCATATAGCCTAAAACTAAATATCAATACAGGCAAAAAATATCTCTGCGAAGAACCACTGCAATAAAGAACAAGTTCGCAAAGTCTCTGGCTATCGTAATTTTTAGACTTGTAATACTTTTACTTCGTAAGAATTGCGACCGCTGAAGTCATTTCTGAAAACACCAAGACTCTTGGAAAAGTCTCTGATAACATCATGCCGATAGAGCTTTCTTCGCTGGTGACGTATCGACCACCCAAAGAAGAAGAAAGCCCTCGTTATTCGCGGTCATTTCCTAGCGATTAGGCAAATCAGATATTTATCATAAAGTCTGGACGAGCTGGGCCCCTCCTATTCTTGTCAGCCGACAGAACGAGGGACGTAGGAGGGAAGGGAGACAGCAAAAAGAACAGAAAGGGCATCAGAAAAAAAAACGTTGAAATAAAAGTCAAAGTGAGATAAAGATATAAGTATAGAAAGTTAGGCGATCGATGATACTGGTATTGGGATCGGTCATAGCATTAGTATTGCTAGAGACAAAGTGGAGAGACCCGGCTGCGAGAAGGATGATCGGAATAGCGTTTAATTAAAAAGGATTAAGCTGTGGTAAGTCCTTAGTCCTGGACGGGACCAGCCGTTGCTGGTTTACTCTTTATTCGAAACCCACGTTGGACTAAAACCGATCAAAGTGTCTACCTCGGCGCAAAGTAGCCTTTGTCAGACTCTCGCGAAGTGGCTTTACCCACGGAATGAAATCTCCAGCTTGGCTCCTGGACAGTTCATTCGAGAAAATCATGTCGCGTCTTCCGGTTGAGTGCTCTATTCGACTTCATTTTCTTTCTCGCGAGTATTTCTCTTTTTCTCACTTGACAGGAGCCTTTGCGTTTATCTCACTTCCTCTCATCATTTTCGACGTCACGCTTCGTCTCACTCATTACTCATGCACTGCCCCATGTAGGGAATCATTCGGGGCAGCCAAAATAAGATATGGATGGCTTGTGGGCATGAACAGGATTACCATAAAAAAGTTTCCGCTGCCAGTGCCTAACTACGCCCTAATTAGACCTTAGCGAGGTATCCGTATTAATTTAATACGAGTGGACCTTTCAATGCCTAAGTAGGCTCGAGTTAGGAATTAGTTCAGTATTTGCGATAAAAGTATCGGGGTCTTCGTCGGTAACGCTTCACTTGAAAGCTACTTAAAATTTTGATATCCATTGACGGTACTTTTAGAGTGGTCTTTCAAGTTATTTTTATGAATAAATAGAGCATGAGACATATTTATAATATTGACCATTATAATCCTTAACTGAAGTAAAATTTATAAATTCAGTTAGTAACTCAGTGGTTAGTCTTTCAAAATGAATCCTTGAACACTTCACTGATTGTTAAAGTTATTTAAACATTTACTGAAGAAATAGTGATTTCATGAGGAAACCACTTCTAAATCAGTGAATGATCTAATTCAAAATCGCATCAAACACTCATACTTCAGTAATATTTACAAAAAAAGTTTGTCCGTGCATCGATTCAGTCAGTAAAATTACACTTGATTCTCAGTGATATACTTATAACTAGGACGTTCGGTGACTATTAATTGATAATCAATCAATTCATTTTCAGAGAGTATCCAGTACATTTGGTACTAATACCCATGTATTATCACTGCAGTTCATTTCCTAAATTGCAAACAACGCTTAATTTCTTTCAGCATAAAATAATTCTTGTTTATCTTCTTGAAAGTTGAACAGTAACCAAGCAAGTGCTATGAGAATATATAATCGCACTAAGGGTGCAGTACGGGCGATCGTAATTCCGTAAATAGTGATCCAACGGTATCAGTTTTAATGAACAATAGGTTGGAAGCAAGCAAGGTATTTCAAGATGATGATCTCTTTACACTCGATGTAGCTTTGCTAGTTGGATCTGAGCGAGCTTGCGACGTGGGTGTGGACGATGACGAGGATGACAAACGTGAGGACGATGAACGGGACACTAGAGACATTATGTGACAATTAAACAGATCTAACCCAGTAATGACTCGTTCGGCTCGAAGTGTTCAAGTCACAATGAGACAGAGTTAAAGGGAAAGCAGACGGTATTCCTCTCAGTCCTTCCAGTCCACCTAGTCCACCTTAAAATAAGTGGGATGCAATCCTCGCCAGCATTCTATGATCCTGTGGCTCCTTCTGTGTAAGTGTCAACTAATCCAACGAAATCGAGACTGTCACCGACCAGCGAATCCTATCCGTCTATAACCAAACCTTGCGGCGAAACTACTATCACGGGTCATTTGCTTTTAATTAGGAACCTGGCTACCATTTGCACCGTTTGTACAGTTTATATCGATACCCCTTCTCCACCTCTTGCCATCGTCCTTTCACAATGTCCACAGGAATCCTATCGCTGATGACAGACAATTTTAACTTAATTATTGGATAAATTTTTTCTTCGTTCTATATATGCTATTTTGAGAATTGATTAAAATTCATGAACTTATCATAGCATCCTATATTATTTTTCTTATTGACCAATTCTAAGCCTTATTCTAACCAGTAGGGTTATGCAACAAAAGTTCGTTTTCCATCTGACCAATTCCTAAGCTTTAATTTTTAAGCTCTATATTATTTAATCGTAACACTCAAAAGTTTTTGAATAATGGTTACATTTTGAAAATCTCACTATTTTAATGAACACTTTACCAGAGGAAGAAACAAATCTGAGTTGCTTTGAATCTTTGAGTAATAATAATGAGTACTGACGTACAACTTAGGGTTTAAGGGTTAAGTGTCGTTTGTCTTTCTTGAAAAGGGTTCTTATCAATTTCTTAGCGAAATTCTGTTATCAGGATTATTACGATTGTTTAATTTATTCAAACAATTTGTGTACGGGAAATATCATTCTTTTATTAAATTGGGTTGAATAGTGATTTGCGTAATTGGCGAAGGAAAGAAAAAAAATCAAATATTTACGTCGCTTTTAAGACGTTTCGAGTTTTAATACCCGTGTATAATAATCGGGCTACTCTCTAGATATTACGATCTAATGTACCAGGCATATTTCTTACGTAATACCATAAGGAAAGCCCACGTTGTGAATGTCGGTATAAGCATATCAATATTAATAAGCTACGGGTTTTCACCAACGCGACGAGATAAAATCTGACTGTAATGTATCGTGGTGTATAAAATTTAGTTTGCACGTAACCTTCACATTACCTACATTTTTTATTCGCCGTGACGGATTGGTATGCATCATGTCGTTGCAGTATGACGTTCCGACGTAAGCTCGTACTTTATAAGTGAAGTTTGATTTAAAATTCAATCTACGTCTGCCTTATCGATGCGCATTTGCGATCCGTCGCAATTTTTCATACGGAAAGCTTTATTGAAATTTGATTAACATCCTCGTTTCAGGTACCTTTCATTTATTGCTAGGTATAAACAATTTATTAAATAGTATCATCAATGCTACCTAATTTTAGAGTCTAATTGTCAAGCAGTTACAGTTTTCGCTCTTCGTCTGTATAACATTTCGATAATAAATATGCAGTTATTGTAATAATAATAATAGTCATTATTGTTTTTATTATTATTATTATTATGTCATAATTCGCATAAGATTTATAAAATTTATGACACGTATCAGAACAATAAACTTGCTATCTATTCGAGTATTAATAATTAGACTAATTATGCATCTACATGACCCAAAATTATTGACATTAAATGTAACAATTGTTCACTGTTCGTATTCCTCATAATCACATACAATTTTCGTATCACAACTCGAATCATGTATCTGCATTTGAAAAGCACGTGTATATCTTGTGACGAGGC